TAGCACTGTGGAACTACCTGCACATAGGTGTCCCTCTGCAGCTGCGTGCGTTGCGATAAATCGTGGATACTTTCTCGCAAAGTTTCCCTACATATGTAACTCATAATGATCATTTGGTTGGTATATAAAAAAAAAAGGGGGGAAATTAAATGGATCTTCTTCCCAACGTACGATTTGACCAGGGCGAATAACTTAACAGATGCAATTTATGTGAATAAAAATAGGCATGCGCGTATCTACATGTGTGTTTTTTTCACGTGTATATATATTGTTTCTTTTGGTGGGGAAAGCCCCTCTTTTGTAGGCTCGCCCCGCAGCTGCCACCCACATGTGGCAGAAATAGCACCTTGGCTGCTACTTCCTCTGATCGGGGTGGCACCTCATTTGACCACTAAACGACTGTGTGATGATCTCGGAGGACATTCCATGATGCTTTCCCCCTTCGTGATGCACATCCACGTGAGCAACAGGGGCATTTAGTCCTTCCCCTCGATCGCGTCGAGGTGTGATGATACCCTGCGGTGGAACAATCCAAAATCAGCGTGGCATGAGGTGTAAAAATAATAAACAGTTCAGCTTCACGCGTTAGAGGAAAACTGTACTGCGTGTGTAAGTTCAATTCGGAGCGGGGAAGGAGGGCAAATCTGTGGAGTAGTCCTTCCCTCCTCACCGCATGGACTGACTATATTACACTTCTCATTTGGCCAACTTACACGTAATTCAGGAGCGTCCCCAAGATGTGGGACAGTACAAGCAGAAGGAGGATGTAGAAGGCCACCAGTTCCTTCTTCTTGCTCTTCCTGCGTGCAGGGGCGGGCGGCACACCAGTGGGCATGTGAAGGTATATATAAGGGGGCAAATGAATGTATATATGGGTGGCCATATGAATATATATATGTGCCCATGCCACTTTGCATATATGCGTAGGCTCGCTTGCGACCGCTTTGCCGCATGGCTCGCCTACTTCCGCACAAGGGAGGTGCCGTATAGGCCGCCCGCAAAGTAGTCCGCGCAGCGCTTGGGCATGACGCGGAAGGCCGAACAGATCAACCGTATGCTAATATCCTTGTTCAGCTTCAGCTTGTACGTCTGCCCATTTATCTGAATCGAGTAAACATAAAACTTAGTTTTTATCATATCCTTCATGAAGGCATGGTAATTTTTTAAGAAACATTTGTTGACCTCCTGTACGGGTACCCCCAAGTGGGCTAAAATTTTGTCCGAACATTTTTTCGACAAATCGTTGGACCCACTGGAGCACAGATTTTTTTCGAACCCAAAGTCGAACAGGGCATTTATATACTGAAGGAATTTCTCGCTGAACTGTTTTTTTTGTGTATAAGTTGGAAGGTGCTCCTCCGCTGTGATGTGCTCCTCCCCTTGGGATGCTTCCTCCCTCTTGTCGTCTCCCCCTGTGGCGGTCAACTGGTAGACGCACAAGCTGCGGACCTGCTGCTCCACCACCTCGCGCACGACATTCGAATTCATGTAGTCAGGTTCACTTATGCAGTAAGACGAATCCCGGATGAAGCAAAATCGAGGGTCGATACTGAAATTTTTGTGGATGCTAAAATGAATCTCGTATGTTATATACTGCTTCAGATCCAGAAGGAAATTTTTCATATAGCGAAAAAAAGTGTAGTTAAAATATTTCCCAAAATCGAGGTGATAATTTATGTGCACAACATCACTCTTTTTTGTGATTCCCCAATACAACTCAAATGTGTACTTGTCGTAATGATCCTTCTTCTGATAAGATATCATGGAGTCGTATGGCACCAGGTAGGTCAGCACACTGGAATGCAGGATCGTTGTGTTCAGATCCTCATGCGGATTATATATCTCATTGTCATATAAGAAGTTGTCACAAATGAAGACCAGCGCAGTGGCACTTGTATGTTGGTACAGATAATCCATGAACTGGAAAATGTTCTTTAAGCTGTCTTTATATTTTATGTGAACAAAGACGACGCAATTGTTCGTAATTAGCACGTCTTCCCCGTGGGGGGCACCCCTCCGGATGAATTTCCCCTTCTCTTTCCTCAAATTGCAATGCAAGTTGGTAATCCTCTTCTGCATTTCGACCAAATTAATCACCAAATCGAGGTCATCAAAATTGGTCTGCAAATATATTCCCCTGCTGTGAACCCTGTGCTTTATAAACTTATATGGCAGGTGTACTAGTATGCCGTCTATCGAGTCGTTCGCCGGGAATATTCTCAGGACGCCCTCCGCAAACCTCTTCGGCCCGCTTCCAAGCTCCCCTCCTAGGGGAAGCAAAACTGCCCAGGCAGAAAGTATCTGCTTCGACGAAATTGCACTCCCCATTTGAGCCTTCACGTGGAACTTGGCCGTCTGGCCGTCTCTTTTGGGGGAAAATTCCCACGGAGGATTGGTCCCTGCGCGATGCCCACAAAAATGGCCGCACGCGGAGCAACATCGCGGATACTTTGCGGCGCTTTTTCCATCGCACAAAATGGCAAAAAGAATTGCCAAAAAATTGACATCACTGTGGCAGGAATTTTACCGCTATATTCCATCGGGGCAAAGCATAACTGACGAGCGAAATTTTAAGCAAACATTGAAGCAGACGCGGACTCAAATGCGCACACAAATGCTGACATGGACCACACTGACTGACACAGTGCATGGGTTCAAACCGCGAAAGAGAAAGGTCGCCCCAAATTCTACCTACCCTCTACCAAGCACTACGATGAGACTCTAAAGTAGTCGAAAATATTTTTCCCGAAGATGTTCCCATTATTGCTACACGTGCTAAGCAGAGGAGTGCCATTTTCATCTGTCATGTTTAATATATCTTTAAAAGCGCTGAGGTCATAACTGGAATTGTCCCAAATGGAACGAATCACCTGTCGATGGTCCAAATCGACGTAAATCTCCTCCTTCGATTCGTCAAAGTTCAATTTGTTTATCTCATAAAGGGTGTCATCTTTGGTACAGTAATACAAACAGTAAGTTAAATAAAGGAACAGCAAGTCATTGTCGTTACTGTACGTGATGTAGAGAAGAGGATGCGGATATATACTTCTCTCAACAAAGGGACAAATAAATTTATTGAACAATTTTTTTAACACATATATGTTCCTTTCAAATATCGATATACTTAATAAATTCCCCTTCTCAAAGCTGTTAACATTGATGTCTATATTTTTTTTTTCCATAAGTGTGTTGAAAATTTCATAATTCTGTGTGATCAGACTGTAGAGTAAAGCATTCGCCATATGTTTGTCCTTCTGATTATAATCGATATTTTGTTCAATTAAATATTTTGAGATTTCCGTGTTTCTGTTGAGGACACTAATAATCAATCCATTTTGCTCCTCCTTGTTAATGCTATTTATTAAATTCGTGTTTTCGATTATAAATTTCACGTTGTTCATATTATTTCCGTAAATTGCAAAATGGAGCACGTTGTTTTTATTTGCGTCCATGTAATCCTTAATCATTTCGTACTTTTTTTCCCCTCCCTGCTTTGCCTCCTCTTTTGTGTCCGCCTCCCCCCCTGCACCTTCGGCTCTCTCCTTTTTCAGGAGCCCCTCCATGGCCGTCCGCAGCTCCTCTACGCTTCTTTCGTTCGAGCATATGAACAGGTTCTTTATTGAAAGGAGTTCCCCCATTGGGTTAGGCGGTTAGGTCAGGTAGTCACGTTACGGGGTTACGTTACGCGGTTACGTTCCGTTGTTACCTCTTTTGCGACTGCTCTCCTCAGGCATGGGCAGACCGCCACCCCTTCTGCTTCGTTCCTCTTCTTCTGTCACCCAAGGGGAGCCACTTCCTATCTTGTGACTTCCTCGATGCTTTACTCAGGAACTATGACAGCCAAGGGGGATTCGCACCCGAGTTGCCTTCACGCTATCCGCAAAAGAGACTAAACTGTATCGCGATGCAGAACTGTGCGAATGCTCCTTCGCATATATAGGAGACTCGCCTTTTATATATCTCTGACACGGGCTGAGACTCTTAAAAAAAAAAAAACAAAAACGGTTACTGTTTTGTGCTATCCTAAAATGTAGAGCAGGACTACATCGAATGTTTTTATGCAACTAAAATTTAGCAATCAATGAGGTGGAGAGAGAAAAAAAATTCGGAACAGGTCAGGCGAGATTTACGTGTCATTTTTTTTTTTTTCTTTCGCCGTTGTGCCGAGCGACCAATGGGTTGGTTTCTCCCAATTTGCCGTTCACCCAAATGTAAGTCAAATTAAAAGAAGGGGTAAAGAGTTTGCTCCTCAAATTACAAAAACATACACTAATTGTGCATCCATAATAAAATTTTAAAGCGAAAAGGACGAGGGGGTGAACAATACATGTACAGGTAACCATATACATATGCGTATGCCTTTATATACCTCCACGTGGTGGTGGTATGCAAAAACCGCGGGGGGAACCCTACGAATCAAACTGCGCCACAGGTGGAGGACAGGCGCTTCGAGGCGGATACTCTCGGGGGGACTCTCTAGGGCCCCGTGTTGTTACCAAATGGAGGGAAACGCACGAGTAGGCGAAACGCCAGCGAACCAATATGCGCACAGATCGATATGTGAGTAGACCAATATTAGCATAGCCAATATACTAAAGCATCGCCCACAAGCACGGCACTACTCCGGGTACGGAACAGACGGTTACCTCCTTCACAGGCACAGAAGCCTTCGGCAGGGAGGATCCACCGGCAACAATCACCAGCTGCCATTACAAAATTTTGTGGCAAGAAAAAGAAATCGCATTTCTGGATAGATGGTACATAAATCCGTCCCGCACAATCTTGTCAGCAAAAAATCACCAATTGGTAGTTCGCTTCTTCCACAAGTTGGTCCATTCTAGAGCGCTATATACTATGTTTGCCATAAAACATGCGGAAGGAAAAAAAAATCTTCAAAGAGCTAGCTAAAATGTGAAGTGTCCCAACCGTTTGGCGATCTCTGCCTGCCGGTTTTAAATTAAAAAAAAAAAGAAAAAGGGTAACAAATTTCCCAATAGTAACGCTTCGAATGGTCTTATGGCTTGATCCAGCCTCCCACCTGCTAGACCGCGTATTGGCTCGACCATGTGTGCCTTCACTCATATATATGATATCTTCTTGCTCCACAAACGGTTTAGATAAGCCTCCGCGGTGGGCGGTTTGCCCTGTGTTGGACCCTCTTAGCATCCCCAGCTGGGATAGAACAAATGGGAAAAGTATTGTATCGCATATCGGTCGTCTCTTCCCTCCATTAGGTAACCCCCAAATGGGCGAACTTACATGTATAGGGCATGAACGCTACTACGTATTCCAATAAACTTACATTTCGCTGTGCTCCCCTTCGTTCAAATTTTTGAAGGGTTCAAAACTTCAAAGGGTTCAAATTTTCGATGGGTTCAAATTTTCGAAGGGTTAAAAACTTCGCACGCAGCTTCATCATTTTTAGGGGGACGCTCCCTACCGATCCTGCCAAAGCTGTTCAATTTATGCTCGCACGTAAATAATCGTTTTTGTGTTATCTCCATTTGGATATTCTACCTGGTGTGTTAACTTCCCGGCAGCTGTCTCTCCCCTTGGCTGCTCATCTGGAGCGCCCCGACTTGTTCCTTCTGGAGCTTCTGCTCTTCCGATTCCTATCTCGTGCGTGGGATTTCTTCTTCGAAGAGTCACTGGACTGACTTGACGCGGATGAGTAGCGGGACGACCGCGATGACGATCTGGATGCAGAGGACGAAGCGGACGAGCTACGCGAGGAGCTTTGTGATGATACCCGCGATGATGAACGACCTGACTTGGAACGAGAAATATATGAAGATCTCGAACCATTATGCGACGCTGAAGAAGAACGTGAATATTTTGAAGAGTGTGCAGAAGCATTTCTGTGCTTTCTTCCTCTGCCTGATTTCCTTCTGTTTGATTTATGCCCTGATATGTAGCCACTGCTGCGACTTTTACTCCCATGACTACCTTGTCCACTGCCACGTCCGCTACCACGTCCACTTCCACCTCCACTGCTACTACTGCTCCCACTACTAGCGTCGGACGAGTCTGAGTCTGATGAAGACGCACTGGAAGAATCATGTCCACTTCCTCTCCTTCGGTTATCCGACCTCTGCACAATATCATTCATGTCGTAATTATTACTTGCATATTTGTTTAGCATACTTCTCTCTTCCTCTATCTGATCGAAGATACTTTTTTCTTGTGGATTTCTTGTACTTCTGGTGTCCATATAATTTCTTCTGTTACTCTCCAGGATTTTTTTCCCTTTATTTTTCGTTTTCTTTTTCCGACTTGAAAAAAATCCCTTCTTTTCAATCGGCTTCGATTCTATGTTCGTGCACATGTTTGCATATTTCGCAGCTTCCATTCTTTCATTCTTCAAATGTTTGTTGTCTTTTAACAACGTTAAAATATTGTTTGAAATTTCTCTTATACCTACCCCTTTATCTTTTAGATCTTCTAAATGGGTAAAGTGCGTAAGCTTTTTAATGAGTTCCTCTTTGTCCTTCACGTCGCTGATGAAGTACTCGCACCCGTTCTTCATTACGTACTCGCACAGTCGTAATCCCTGCGCGGGCGGCGGCGGACGGACACCGAAAAAGGAGAAAAGAAGAAAAAAAAATTAAGAAGCTATACAGATGCAGAAATACGTATAGTCAAACCGAGTCAGCATTACCAAAATGGCATATCAAAAAGGGGAGAACTTTTTTTCTTTTTGGGAGTGGAAGAAGACTCCTCCCCTTGAACTAACCTTGTATATTCTCCTCCATCTTGACGGTTTCTCCTGGATTGCCTTGAAAACCTCGGTGAGGACTCTGTTATAGTAATTCGCATCGTACGTTGAGATCGACAGATCATACAGAAGGCTATTCGAAACCCCATAGTTTTTATTGTTTAGTGCTTCTTTAAGGTTTTTTTCGAACTGATTGGACTCTAAATATCTAAAAAAGGAAGTTGAGGCGAGGTTATGGGTAACATAACATGATAGACAAAATTGCGTCTGCATTGGAGAGTACTCCACAGGTCACACATTTTTTTTTTTTTTTTCTTTTCGCCTTTCACACGGGGCATTAGGGCTCACGAGGAGGGGGTTGGTAAAAAGAAAAAAACTCCCCATGTTGAGAAAACCTTACTTCTGCAAATAGTTGTTTATGCTTAACACCTTTGAATTAACCTTTTTAAATATTAACATCTGCAAAGTGGGAGAAGACATGAACGTGTGATGAAGGACCGTCTCGTGACTACACAATGGGAGAGAAACAAAATGTGCACGATAAGAGAATGGCACATGACAACGCTGCTATCGTTTTAATGTCAGGGCCACTTTCCCCTCTTTTTGCTCTCACCTTTATGGCGGCATAGGACAAAAGGGAAATTCGAAGATGAAGAAATTTCCTATGGTTAGATGATGCTTCCTATAGTTAGATGAGGCTTCCTATAGTTAGATGATGCTTCCTATAGTTAGACGATTCTTCTTATGGTTAGATGATTCTTCTTATGGTTAGATGATTCACAAACGGGGGGGAATTGTGGAGGGGGCGATTCAGTTACGCCTGCTGTGGTGTACTTCTGAGTGTCCTTTCGGAAGCACTTCTGCCTATGCACAGACGCCCCCAATTCACACACAACACAAATCCACGTATACGACTGTCCCGCGGGGGCAGCTTGACAGAAGAAGTCACTCCAAGTTGCGCCTTGCACTTACGGGTCACACAGTTCGCGACAAAAGGGGGGAAATTTCGCAGCAGTACATCGCCAATGCTGTCCAAATGGTACAACAATATGGCTCCAATAGTCCCCCAATGCTGGCGCAATCTTAATGGGGACCCGTGTAACGGTTAAAAATGGAGTCCCAGATTTTTGCGGACGATTAAATTCGGCACAACTAACATTTCACGGAAAAAAAAAAAGACGCCTAGGAGGGAGGGGAATTTTACAACTAATTGTTGAACAAAAAAATAAAGAAAAAATAAAATCAAATAAAACAAGTACTTGACGGGATGAAGTGAAACTTCGTGCGTGAAATCAAATTGGCCAGTCAAATTGGCGAATTAAAATGGCCCACTCAATTGTCCAATAACTTGGCGACACGAAATAAACCAAGCGGACGACGCAGACACAAACACAACAGTTGCACATGCGACACGCCGCGCCGTTTTTTTTTTTTTTTAAAGCGCCATTGGGGGAACCCCCGGGGGGGAATCATCCAAGAGATAAAATCTCCTTTTGTACAGACTATTCGTATACCTCGGGGGTAAGGTTCTCTCCCGGCGGATCGAAGGAAACGCGGCACCTCCAGGGAATGGCCGCCCGTCGAAGACGCAACATAAATCTATTCACGAGTGTATATGTACAAATAAACGCGTAGGTGCGCTTACGAATGTGCGCCCACTCCTGCGACTCGACAGAAAAATGTGAAAGGAAAGAAGAGCGCTCATTCGTCTTCTGCAACACAGGCGAGTTTAGGAAACGATCTCCAACTGAAGGCGCATTAATATGGAGGGTATCCAGATGGTAAAAAAAAAAAAAAAGAAAAAAAATTTCACGTGGGAAATTTCCCACTCGTGTTTTTTTTTTCTTCTTTCTTTTCTTACGGGGGTGGGGGGGGCCTGTTCTCACACGGTTAAGAGGACTGTGGCCAAATATGCAACACAAAGGATCTGTTTCGCCACCATCCAGCGTGCCGCTGTTATATGGAAGGTGGGTATACATGCATTCAGGCGTAGGTACATACATAAAGGCGTTCTTACGTTCGCCCCTTTCCGTGATCGATGCTTCTCACAAAAGAGATGAACACTGTAATCGTGCTCGGACGTTCATATTCACAACCCTGAGTTGCTGCGAGCTCTGCCCTGTGACTACTGCGCCATTGGCACGTTAGCCAATGTTGACTGTAAAAGGTAGGCAAATGGAGAGAATTCCCTCCCCCTTTATCAAAAAAGAGGTGATTTCGCATAAACGTGTATTGTTAATATGTACGTGCATATATATGTACACGTGTATGTACATAGACGTGCCCTCTCTCTTGATGCCTGGTTTAGAGAAAGAGGGATGCTCTCCACTTTGCTCATGTTCGTTCAATCAAGTAAAAATGCTGCGTTGTTTGTTTCCTCCGACGTGCTTTCTACTTATTTTTGCGTTCACTCTTGCGCACTGCTCATCTATTCCATGTTATTCTTTCCATTCCTTAGCTTTTCGACACTTCAACATTTCATCATTGCAATTTTTTTTTTTTTTTTGTGCAAGAGGAACACATAAAAAATGACAATTTTGCAAAAAAAAAAAAAAATAATCGCATGACCTTTGGGTATCCCTAAAAATACGCGAACGTGAGAATTTCTCACCTCTTAGCGCATTTTTTAGTGGAATGTGTTTTCCCTTACTTGGCATCCCTCAGCAATTTCTACCCCGTCGGTTTGGAGCCAAACGTTTAATGAACATGGAGGAGCGACTTACCACCCAGGCGAAGGTGCAATAAGCATGGACATATACGCATGCCTGGATGAACTTTTTTTTTTATTTTCTTTTTTCTTCTTTCTTTTGCATTTTAAGTTCCCATGTTTCTCTTGTCATTGGAGTGCATACGGTTGGAACGATCCAAGGAGGATGTGCACCGGACAGGATTTAAAATAATACTCTCCCTGGGTTAACCCTTACAGAAGGTGTGAGCATTGGATGGCGCGTTGTGAGGCCTCCTCGATGGACTGCCTAATTTGTCCATTCCACTTCTACCCTGATCTACCAACGTCAGTGTGTGCACCAACTGGCGAGGCGTCCCTCCATCAGTTTTACGAAAACATGTGGAGCTTCATCGGCTTGGGGAAATAACCCCCCTGAAGAATTAAAAAAAAGGGGAGAATATTCTCCGCGACGTGGCCAAAGGATTGGCATGGACGCCCGTACATCGTAAGTACCTGTTGGGCAATGTCTGCCCACTGGAGAAACACCCTTCATGGAGTGCTCCACCTGGAGGATAATAGATCCGACACACACACCCTCCTGTGTCCTTTTTTATACAGAACTGGTTGTACGTCACCTCACAGGGGTATGTATACCTAAGGGGCATTTCTTCAAAAGGATGTTTTTTTTTTTAAGGCGAAATGCTTTACATTGTTGCGACGGAGTGGTGTGTATTTTTCCCTATTGACACCAACCAAAAAAGAGACCCTCTCGCGCGATTAGCAAAGTATCATTAGGTATTTCTTTTCCCCCACGGAAGATATCATACCCGAGAGGAGGGGGCGACGGTTAGGAGCATAACCATCATGTGGGCGACTCATTAGACAGAGAATTTTTTCTACTTTTTTTATGTAGCCCCTGTGAACTGCTGCGCTCACTTGTTCACGTTAACTTGGAAAAATGTTGATCTCATAAACATCGTCTTGTCCGCATAAAAGTGCTAGCAATATAAATCGCAAATATAATGACCTATTAGGAATGGTTTATGCACAGAGTGAAAAGTCGACACCCTGGAGATGGAAATTTGTGCAGGTCGGGCTATGTGCCTAATTCGTCTCGAGGCGGCTCATGTGTATACAGTGTATGGAGGCGCGTGTACACTCCTGTACTGGTACACACATGCAGTTAGACGTAAAAAGGGGGGGGATCCATATTTCTTCGTATGGGGAGTTTCCACTTTTTCTTCTTTCTTTTCCAACCGTACACATAATGCTAACGCTGTAAAGGAAGTTCCCACTTCGCAAATGCGCGGGAAAATATACGCAGTAGGCTTGGGTACCTTATGGCCCTCTTCGCAAGGGGTTTTCATTATCATTAGCAGGAAAAAAAAAAAAAAAAAAAACTTTTAAGAAATCTCCAAAAATGCGCTAAAGTGTGAGGCGGCGAGATGTGTCTTATTGAAGCCCCCACTGCAGATGTAACATTGTCTAATTATTTATTTTTTTTTTCCTTTTCGCTTATATTTATTTATTTTTTTAGTTTCCCCTGTTCGTCGCGTTGTTTCCCCCCATGTAGGCCCAAACTATAACATTCGCAGATGTTCTTATATGCCAATGTGGACGCGGGGAAGGGGCTCACAGGGAAGCCTATAAAGTTCCCCATAAAGTTGCCCCTGAAGCGGCTCAACTAGGAGACACATCTCAGCTTCGTTTCACAGCGCGGAGAACCTCTCGAAGCGGCGAAACGGGGAGGCAGCTGAGCTACCAATCGGATACCCTACTAACGAGTGGCGGTTCCAGTCGGCTCCCCTGCCACCTCCATGCTAACCCACGCACCATGGTGTACCGCATAAACAGGAACACCCAGCAGAGCAGCGCGACATCGGCCCCCAAAGAAAGGAACGTCAGCAAGGGGGGCAAGGATGGGAAGACGTTCAGAGGGAAGGACCCTCATAAGGATACTCATAAGGAGGGTCATAAGGATACTCATAAGGACCCGCATAAGGATCCTCATAGGGACATCCACCAGTGGTACATCCAAAACAACATCGAGCAGAAAAAAAAAAAAAACGAGGAAATCGAAAAGGACAAAAATTCCTACTTCGAAGACGCGGAGGTGGAGAAAAACGTGGAGGAGTACATAAGCGTCGTGTGCAGAATAAGGAACGACGTGAGTGAAAATCAAAACGGAGAAGAAACACAAAGTAACGAAGTGGAAGTAATTAAGAAAGTAGCCAAAAATAAGCTCGTCATTGACACCTGTCCAATGGGAAACAAAAACAATGGACTCAATTTAGAATACACATACGATCGAGTATACGATATTGAAAATAACAACAAAATGATCTTTAATGATTATATTAAGCATAACATAAAAAATATTTTCCAAGGAATTAACTGTAGTATAATGGCCTATGGACAAACAAACAGTGGGAAGACATATACCATGCTGGGAAGCTTCGAATATTTGAATAATCTGTTTCACCTTTGTAAGGAAAACCAAAACAACAAAATGGGCTGGACAGTCGATAACGACATTGCTATCACTTACGAGGAGCTCACGAACTGTATATCGAATGAACCCAACTATGTGGGTCTGATTCCTCACTGCATTAATTACATCTTTAATTATATAAGCTACCACAAAAGCGAGAAGGAGCCACCTAATGGCAGAAAAGAATTTGTCGTTACTATGTCCATTCTTGAAATTTATAACGAAATAATATATGACTTGATCAGCGGAGAAAGTAACCTCTCCGTTCATATGATCGATTCAGAGAAAAATGAGTTCGTCATTAAAAACTTGAGAGAAGTGGAAATTGAAAATGTTATTAATGCACTTCATTATTTGGAGGAAGGAGTTAACAACAGGAAAATCGCCTTCACACATATGAACAAGGCTTCCTCAAGATCCCACCTTATTTTTATTATAAAAATCAAGAGGTATATTCATGCTACCAACACGGTGAGGTGTGGCAAGTTGTGTCTTGTTGACTTAGCTGGAAGCGAACGACTTAAACAGACAAAGGCCACTGGTTCCGTCAAAATAGAAACCACCATGATTAATAAAAGCTTGACTGTCCTCAGCAAAGTTGTCAACGCCTTGGCTGTGATGCAGATCAAGGAGAAAATGGACAGGACAGGTAAAGAGAAGCCTCCCGATCATGTTGCCCCGACGGGGGAAGCCTCCACTGAAGCACCTACCGATGATACACGACCGACGGAAGAATCTGCACAGAAGGAGGACCACACGGGCGGCCACCCGGAGGACCACAGGGACGACGACAGGGACGACCACAGGGACGACAACACGGACAACCACAGGGACGTCCAAAAAGCAAGCGTGCCCAACACAACGAGGAAGGCCAAGTTCCAAGGGGCAGTCACCGCCGCAGGAGCCACCTCGGGAGGAGCCCCACCCAGTGTGCACATCCCCTACAGAGATTCCAAACTGACAAGGGTCCTCTCAGACAGCTTGGGGAACAACTGCAAGAGTATTCTAATCTGCACCTTGTCGTCAAAGCTGCGATACCTGAACGAAACGGCCTCCACCATCAAATTCGCACAGAGGGCTAAAATGGTGAAAGCCAAGCCAGTGGTGCGCGAAGAAAAAATGGAAACAAAACATGTCAAAGAGGACTACCATAGCGAAAAGGAGGGAAGCAACAACCAGCATAATCTTAAGGAGAAAGCGGCGGACATTTTCGTCAACTTTAATCAAAACCATATTACCAAGGATATCATTTTCTTCTCCTTTAGTCTCTGCATCTTTAGCTACATCTGTGGGTTCAAGAGCACTGGAAAGGTGAAATATCTGGACTTTTTCATCGAGTCGTATAAGAACAAAATTGACATAATAAAACAGCAACTGAGCAAAGAAGGCATAGACACCAACGAAGTTAACCAGTGCATACTGAAGACATTTGATGAGCTCAAACTTTTAACGGAGGAGGAAAAGGAAAAATACTTGAAGAAGATCCAACAGGCGAAGCTACAAAGTAACGACGTAGAGGGACACCCATGGGCGGAAAAAAGGCACAATCACCTGCACAAACTACTGGGGAACAGACTCTTTGGGAAGGGGGCCATAGCGGATGGACGGAATGGGGAAGTGGGCGCAGCAGGGGAAGCAGTCAGGAGCAGTCCGAACGGGCAAATTGCACCCGACGCGTTGCAGCTGAGCTTGCTCAAACGTGGAGCAGCTCAGCTGGGAGAAGCAGCAGCAGAAGCAGCACAGGCAGAACAACACGAAGAGGACGAAGAAGACGCGCTGATAGGAGACATCCTAATCAAAATGAAAAACGACATTTGCAACATTCTAAAATTTAACTTAGCTAGCTTGAAAAGCAACCTAAAGCAGGACGCGCAGATGTTCGACGAATTGCTAAACATTGTAAACAGCGTGAAGGAAAACAACAACATTTTTCTAATGAATGAGCTGAATCAACTCGGCAACGCAGACGCTATGGGAAGTGACGCCCAGGGGAAGAGCCAAGTAGAAGAGTGTGAAGGGAATAATTCGACTCACAAAGAAACAAATCACCACACACATGATCCTTCCAACCACGGAAAGGGAAAGGCAAATGTAAAAGGGGCGGGTCCAAAGGATAAACAATCCATTGCCGATCGGAAGGCAGACCCCAAAGGGGGAAAAAAATGGCCCAGGTGGAAAGCAGACCACGTAGAAAAAGAAGAATATGCGCAGCATCCACAAGATGAAATGGAATTATACCAGCCTGACTACTTTGCAAGAAATATCCTCAGTGTACACAACATACAAAATATCTTCGACTACGTGAATAATAATTACACCAAATTTATTAGCGATTTTACTACAGACAAGAGCACCGTTTTCACAAACTTGGACTTAAAGGAAAATTTGGATAGACAAATCATTGAGAAAAATAATACCATATATAATTTTATCCACTCCGCTACCATGTTTCAGCATAGTGGGACTCTGAAGGATCTTAACAGCAACTACTTCTTCAACAAAATTCAGACGGAGCTGTTTAATAATTATGGCAATCTTCATAATGGCCACCATCATAATGGCAACTTCAGGTGCATACACAGCATGCTCGAGGGGAATGTCCACAAGACAAACGCTGTGAAGCAAGACGCAAACGATGGCAAAGGCGATGGTAACAATTTGGGGGATGATGGGCAATCACCCCCCAAGCAGAGGAAGTACGTCTCCATTACAGAAACCCAGCCCTCGGACCCCTCAGACATTCTCCACATCACCAGCGGGATCAACCAAAGCGTGAAATTCGCAAGCATCAAAGGGGGAGCGGACGGACCAGTGGTGCAAAAATCGGTGAACTTCGACAACAAGGGGAACACTACCAATCGTAGCGAGCTGCCAACAGGTGGAATGACCCAAAATCAAAACAAACAGAAAGAACCCAGCCCGCGCAACATCATCCGTGTCTCGCAAAACGGACTCCAAATGAATGAATTGGCAAACTTAATAGAAAACGAGGACTTCAAAAAATTGTACGAATATATCACAGACAAGGGTAACAACAATGAGGGGGTTCATTTTAAAGATGGAGACGAGTGTTCCCATGCAGCGTTCAAACAGCTCCAATCCAGGATCGATGACGAAATACGGAAAATAAGTGACTACGTGACGGTGGATATATCCCCTCTGAGTGAGGGCGGGAAAGGCAGCCGCGGCAGCAAGGCAAGTGGGAAGAAAAATAGTCGCGCGAGCGCAGTGGGGAAGCGTTCCTCCACAGGCAAACCCAACAAAGACGAATGGAACAACGGCAATAGTGATAATAATCATTCCAAGACTGGTCAGAACCCTTGCGAAGGGGTACCTCCTCAAATTGGGGACGCCTCTCGAAATTCCACGGATACAAAACCAGCCAAACAAAATAACTTCAATCACACACACATTTCATACTTGGAAAAAAAACGAACCACCAATTTGTTCTTCCAAAAAATTATCGACATAATTAGAAACATATTTCAGAAAAAAGAATCCCCCAAAGACCCAATCGAAATTAACACCTCCGACCTCATCGATAATGAGCTCCTCTACAACAAAAAGCTCCTCGAAAAAAACTTGGATTCCTACAAGCTTCGAAATTTTCAAATCAATGATAAAAAAATTTATCTCCTCAACGAGGCGGAGTACGTACACCTCAGGGAGCTAATAAATTACAAAAACAAAATGCTTTCCTTTTTGAATTGCGAATATAGGAAGTTTAAAATGTCTCTTTCGTGAGGGGACGATGCGGCATATGTGGCGCTCGTGGTGGCTGAAGGGTTCGCCCTGGACATCACCACTGCTCTGAGGAGTTACAACCCCTCCACCGGGGACGTGCCAAACAGATCAATATGACTCTCCACAGAAAATACGCTGGGATGCACTCGCTCCACAGAGACAGGGAGGCAGATACAGCTACAGCTACAGAGACATATACACATGCATGCACCATCTCTTCCTTTTCTCTTTTCTTACACTTCTTCTCCCATTTTTGAATTTCCGCATAAGAGAAGTGGAACCATTTCTGCAACAAGCTAACTTTGGAAGTTTCCTCCCTCCTCACTTCACATCAAATCAGGGGTGAAGTATCTCGAATTGGAAGGGAGGTAGCATCACACAAATATGTCAAGGGCAAATTTTTAAATTATCCTTTTTCAAAAACGGGTTTGTAATTTTTCTTGGTGTATCTATAGCTCCGCGGGGGGATTTTCCACGGTAGGATTTGTCTCTCTGGGGGGACATCTATGGGGGTCACAATCTGCTCTCTGCCGGGAAGCTCGTTCAGTGTCTTCTTCGCTGCCCTCGCTTTGCTTCACTCCCATGTGATCACTGGATCCGCTCTGTTTCAATTCCCCACCACCGCTGCATTCACTCTGCTTCACCTCCCCACCACCGCAGTGCGCGCTCTCTTTCCCCTCACCCCCAGAGGGCCGTCCCGAACTGGGGGCGTCCTGATCGAAGTAATCACACTTATCGTCAAAGTTATCATCGAAGTTGCTGTAAAAATAAACGTCGTTTAAAGTTGGGGCGTTCCAATTATTTCCCTTCCTCGAGTCCACCCCATTGTGCCCATTAAAGCCACGGTGAATATTGCTACTACCGTTGTTGTCTCTCCTGCTCGTGTTCCTTTTTACTTCCCTCTTCTCAATGTTGTCCTTCATCTCTTTGTGCAAACTGCTGTACCCGTCATTTCTCTTTCTTGAATTGTTCACCGGGAATGAAAATACTTTTTTGTTTTCAAATTTGACATCGCTATTTTCAGTAAAGGCTTTTTCGTAAAAGGAGAAAAATTGTTTTTTGTAAATCGTATCAAACAAAGTGGATTTTATTTTTTTTTTCTTCTTTTTATAATTTGATTCGAAAATCTTTTGAAAAAAATTATTGCTCTGAATTTTTATTCTATCCTTATCGATGTATTTGTTTCTGTTTTTATTCCAATTGTTGTCCCCATGATGGGCTCGTCTGCTGTCTGCTTTCTTTTTATTCTCTTCGTCTATCATGTCCAGTTCAGTTTTTAAGTGACATAACACAGACACGCAAATGTCCCCCTCTTCATCCCTTCCTCCACTTTCTTCGTCATCAATCACCATGTCGAAGTTCAGCTTGAATCGCTTCTTATTTTTCGTGTATCGTTTGTAATACTGCGGAGAAGAGGAGATACACGTGGAGTGAACAAGCGTAGAAAACACACTACATCAGTTGTGCGGACTTTTCACTTGGTGCTCTTTGCGTGGACGCGTCCCCATTGGCACACTATAACAGGTGAGCAGGAAAACTCCATATCTACACAAAAGAACAAATAACACAGTATTCACGCAGAGCGCTTACTTTGAGCCTCCTCCTCACATTGTCGCGGTTGTTTTTTTCTTCCTGTATTTTATTATTAAGGTACAGAATCTGCGAACCGTTTTTAAAAAAGGGACAATTTTCATTGGCACTGCTTTTTTCACTGCAAGATGGCGCCCCGTTTGGCGACCTTCCGCATCTGTGCACAGTTCGATTCATAACACTCCGCTCGTGATCCGCTCTTACGCTTTTATTCAGTTCTTCTATCTCCTTCATTAGTTTTTTGTTACTGTCGACTTGCTGCCAGCGGGAGAGAGCAAGAGAAGCGCGATCAAGTGAAGTAAGCTTCAGTTAGGAGCGAGCACACGAGGGCATACACACGAGGGCATACACGCGAACGTATGGAGAAACATATACACATGGAACGGAAGAATTATCCCGTCCGGGAACCCCAACCTTGTGGTACAAGCCGTTGATTGAGTCCAGTTGCTGCGACAGTCTCTCTATTTGGTCCTCTCGCAGTTTAAGTATTCCTGCCAAGGGGGGAGAGGAAGTTGCAAGGTGATGAGCAGATACGTGGCGGAGCGGTCAGATGGCGAAGAGGTTACATGGTAGGCACATTGCAACCGCATGGCAAACGCATAGAAACCGCTTAGCAACTTACGTGTGCTGTTGGACTCGACTTCACTCTCCGTGGCTTTTCTCTGCAAAGAAGGGGGCACATGGGTTCGTCAAAAAGGGCTATATATACACGTTTGTACATACTCGCGCTGTGATGCGGACGCTTACCATTTTCTCCAATTCATCCTGCAGATTCTCTATTTTGCTGTTCTTAAGTTTTATCTGCTCTGGAATTCAAAGGGGATTGAAAAAGAAATAACCACTTGGATAGGCTGAATGTATGGCTTTTCCACTTGCTCACATTTTGAGTGGACCCACTTTCCATGTTATTTTTCACGTCTTATGTTGACGTGCTTTCCTGTGGATACAAATCCCCTGTCCTGCGCTCACCTGTGTATATCTTCTTTAGCTCTTCTACATGTTCAGCGTAAAAGGTGCACTGTGGGGAGAAAAGAAGTGGTAGTTGGAGAAGAAGATCATAAGGTTGCATTTTGCCTTTGCTTGGCTTCACTCAGGATGCTTCCTTTTGGCTCAGACTTACCTTATCTTCTAGAATAACGTTTTCCCGCTTCAGGTGGGACAGGTGTTTCCGCTCTCTCTCCCGCAGAGTGTCTGTCTTGTTGATTTTGTTGGTGTAGTGCTGCACGGGGGGATGGGAGGAGGAGCGGATGAAGGGATGGGCAGACGAGCAGATCATCAGATGAGCGGTGGCATAGCACCAGATGAGAGGAACATCCGCAACTATAGATGCCCGCTTCGACACGTCGCTTACATTTTTTATAAGGTTGATCGTTTTCCTGATTATGTAAAAGCTCTGTTTATATTTTAATAACTCATTATGCTGGTCCTACGACAGAAGGGGGGGGAGATACTCCATGGGTGAAATTCTCCCGTCTCCGCTTCACGAGGGAGCACATCCACGTGCACATGGGTACACATAGTTTTCGATGCATGCAAAAGTACAACACCGCGGCAAGTAGAATCATTTACATTGTTGTCCGCTGAATTTCTTTTTTTTTCCCGGGGCCGTTTGTTATCTGCTAAGCGAAAGGAAGGAAAACAGGGGTGCACGTAAAGGGGGTGATGGCCGTGGGTGAAGTGTACTGATGTGCAAGTGTGTTCCCTTGCACGCGAGAACAGCCTATAAGCTATTTCTCCCACAAGCATTGAATGAAAAGCCCGTTGATCTTTCCTACAACCCCATGATGTCCCTCTCTATGGCTCCTTTCCTAATCCCCCAAAATGCTATGACCTCGCCATTAAGCATTAAAATGTAAAACCTCGCATGAACATACTCTTGGAATCACCATGGATGACTAGAACTTTCTGTTTTCCCTCTTTCATGGGCCTCAAAAGGATGTATGCGAGAAGGGGATTAAATTACTTGTACAACTTTACAACACGGGTATATGCCTCGTGGTCCGTAGAAAGAGGGGGAAAAATCCTCCGTTTTGTTGTGAATGGAACAGCGCTTCATTAGCTCGCCAAAGGCGAATGTTGCCACTCGGTTTCATCAAACGTTATGTTAGTCTACGTCATCCGAAAAGGAGGAGTCGCAGATTTCCCTATTTGCAGGTTAGCAGATCCGCAGGTTCGCATGTGGGGAAAGTATACTTTTATCCGAGGCGACGCCATTTCTAAACGCCGCTTGGGCTGCACTATCCGGTAGGGTCTTCCCTCTTCGTGGCATAGCGAATGGGCAGCAAAAAAGAAACGGTGCCCAGAAGGCCCACGGGAATACGCCCGGCATTGTCGTTTCAGGTTGCAACTTTGAATGTAACGCGATTTAGCAGGTAGTCACTTATAGGCGCGAGCGCGAATAAAGCAAATTTCGTAAAATTAAACCGCCGTTGGCAAGAAGAATTCCAAGTTGATACTCCCCCCGAACGTGCAGGTGCATATTCTGTATTGTCGATTCCCACGCAGGGACACCAGAAGGGCACTTCTCCCGCATGCCGTACCGCCTTCTTTTTGTGTACATAAATTGGCCTAAAGATGGAGGCAACGGATGCCTGACCCCACCGCGTCGTAAAATTGGAAAGTGGGCAAAAAGGAGAAGAGAAGATAAGAGGGAATAAAAAAATTGACGAAAAAGTGGGCGAAAAGGTGGAGGAACGCATTGGCGTTGCACAAACTGGCGGAGTGGAGCAACCGTGCCGCTAAGAAGTCCCCTCCGTAAAAAAATTACATGGGAAGATGCAAATGTACAGATGTCTTCATATATATTTTTTCTTCTTCAAGTGGAAGAAGTGGGACGGACAAAAAAAAAAACGCATGAATGACGAGGTGGGTATAATATACCACGTGAAGGAGGCGATGCCCCCTCTCCCCCCCAACACACACATACACAGATGTATATGCCTATGCGTAGGTGTATGCCTATCCGTATGAGTACCTCCCTGCTGAGGTCTACTTGTTGGTCGGCTCGTAGAGCGGAATCTCGTTGTAGAGAAAGGGGTCCTGCAAGCTGTGGGGCATATCAATGACATTCTTGTACTTCCTATTCTTCTTATATATAAAGGTGGGGTAGTACAGATAAATCTTGTCCTTAAATTTGTTAAAGGCCCTTCCCTTGGCGTCGGAAATTTTAATAATTTTATTCTTGTAGCCACCAATGGGTCCCTTAATGAACAGCAGATTTTGCAAGCTGTTAATTCGAAAGAGTTTATTGTTGCTACATTTGACGAGGGTCTTCTCCCCTATGTGAGTATTCATCTTCTTATTCCTGAAGACAATGTTAATTGTCTTTCCCATGGAGATACTACCTAAGCTTCTATGTGCTTTACTTTCCGTTCCATGTGAAGCGTTTTTGCCACTAAAGTTCCACTTCTTCATGGCCCCACAAAAACCCTTATTCTTTATAGTAGAGCTAATGAACAAATTTTGGCCTGGGGAAAAATGCCTCGCTGAAAATTGGTGTCGTACAGGGAGAAAGCAATCACTGGTACATTTGAATTCTTTTATTTTGTGAATAAACCCTAACTTCCTTTTTATATAATTGCCAATGTTATTTTTACTCTGCTTAATGACATTCATGTTTCCTATTCCTATTTCCAGCGCTTCGTATCCATTCTTCGTAATATTCTTCTGGTTTAAAACATAGCAGTGATTTATTTTCGCAACTGTCACTGCGTGCTTCACTCCCCACACATCCCATATGCTCATGCAGCCTATTTTGTATGCCAGCAATCCTGTCCTCCTGCTATTCCACAGTGGGTATACCTTCTCGATCTTATCATCTTCCTTCTTTTCTTCGTACTCTGCTTCATCCTCTGCATTTATTTTGTAATTGTACTTTTCGTTTAGCAGTTGTAACCGCCTTACCCATTTGGAGGCGTAAAAGCTTCGCCGCGATACAGCCCACAGTGTGTTGGGCTCTGCGAAAGTGGGTCTCCCACCTCCGAGCAAAATGTGATTCATCGTGGAAGGTCCCCAAGTACAGTTCCCACAAGTGGGGGAACCCCAAATTGGAAAAACTTCAATCTGGTTAACACGCTTCCTTTAGCTGTAAGGGAGAAAGACTGTGTAAATCCCGCTTTGCACAGCGTAACAACTTTGTGGGGAGTCAATTCCACCTTCGACGCTGGGCTTTGTAGGTCACTCCCTGGTAGTTTTGCATCACTCTTGTTTGCCCCTCCTTCCGCGTGGGTTCCAGTCCCACCGGCATAGTGCAAGCTGGCGAGAGCGAACAAATTGTACACATGGAGGTGAAGCCCCTTTTTGGAGAGCACCCAAAAAAAGTGGAGAAAAAAAAGGAGGAGAAAATGCAGAAAAAGGAGGAGAAAAATGGAAAAAAAAACGACAATGAAACCTCAATACCATCGCGTGCTATATGCTCTCTCACCGCGCCAACGGTCTCATCTGAGTGGGGCGTCCCATGGAGAACCTTCACGGGTACGCTCTCATGCGGCGTTGCCATCGGGCCAGGGGAACCGCCTCACGAACCGCTCTGGCCAAACGGAGGTGAACCATAGGGCCCATTTCCTCCAACAGCTTTACTTTTCCATTTAAAAAGAAAAAAAAAGTTCACCTAGCGGGGGGGTCCCCTCCACCAGTTTAGCCAACATTAATTTCCACGCCTAAGGGGAAAGTTATCTCACCTCGTTCGCAACGTACAATTGTAAAGAGGTGAGAATCACTTCTCTCCTCGGTGTGTGCCAGGAGGAGAATCGCCAATGAGGGAGCGCACCCTCGGTGTTTCTAAAATGATGTGCACAAGTGTAGCAGGCGTGCCAAGGCTGCCAAGTATGCCAAACGAGCCAATATACACAGACGCAAAAAAGAATAGAGCCAACTCCTATGGTGTCCGCGACTTCCCCGCAGGGGAGACAACTGGAGGGGGCTTCCCCAACGCTAAGGGGCCATCATCTTAAAAATAACGAATCGTTTATTTCTTGGAATTTTTTTTTATCCTTTGCGAAGATCTTCGCGGCTGCGTGGTTGAAGGGGTCCTCCATCGAGGGTTCCTGCAAGGGAGGCGCGCAAAGCGAAGGGGAGCGCGTGAGTTGCTCCGTTTATGCAGTGCGAACGTATTAACATAGGTCCATCGGTAAATGAAATAGGGAGACGCTTCAAATTGCAGGCGTTTCTCCGTTACGGGGGCAGAACTGCTGGCTATTCCCCCCCTCACTGGGGTTCACCACGTGGTGTAACTGTACATTTAGCAGCAGCAGAAGTCCCAGGATCAGCATTTGCAAATTTATGATGGGGTTCCATTCGAGCTTTAGGACATTCAAGCAGACGTTCCCGCGTTCGTCAATGTTGGGGTGGAATATCTGCACACGAGGGGGGGGGAAAAGGGGAGGTCACAAAGGGTCTTGTGCGTGGGTGCAAATCTATATATACGTATGTATCTACGCATGTGTGTAAATCTATATATACGTATGCCTGTACACATCTGTGTATATTTATTTCTCTTTTCAGTCGCACCGCCATTGGGGCAAAATCACCTTGCTCTGGCATGTTATTTTGGGTGGCGCGATGGGGTAGGTGTCCTTAAAGAGGATGACAAAGCTAACCGTCTTCCCCCTGAAGTAACTCTCCTTCGGGGTTACCGATATGGCAATTTCTTTCAAACTGTGATCATCAATTTGGTGCAGCTCCACGCCGTCAATTGGATCCAGGTCCAGGAGTTCTTCGCAGAGTGGGCAGAAATGGTGGCGTGACATTTGAGAGGTTGACCGCTTGTCAGGTTGGCGCCTTTGCCGAGGGGCTTATGTTGTAGTCGCCATCGCGATGTGCTCATGTTAGTGGCCCTCTTTTCAGCGGATGCATTCCCCATTGCGGAACCCCAGGGGGAGGAGGCTTCACCCATCTGAAGCTCATCACAGGGTCCAATGGTGGAACCCCCAAGGCCCCAGTTGTCCTCCCATCTTTCTTGCATAGAGGTGCCTGTTCCTTTCGAACTCGCAAATACACCCCTCACATGTGTTAACCTCCAGGGGTAGAATACACAAAAAAGGCACTCTCTCCTGGGCACTCCTCAAACGATTGGCCTTTTTGTCTTTATTTTTTCACTCGACCATATGGGCTATACCTTTCTGGAGCACTAACTCGAAGGACTTCAACTTCTTCTTCTCACTCTCGTTACTCATTTTGCATCTTAAATTTATTCCAAGTGAAGTTAAAATTTGGCACAACGGGAAGGCAGCTAATAAACTAGTCACTCTGTAGAGAATCTTGTCGCTTCCTTTTCGAAACCAGGACAGGAACCATGTTATTTTTATTTTTTGCCCATTTAGAAATTATTTTTTCACATTTTTTTTTCGGTGGTGGGGAACGTAGCCATATGAAGAGGTGGATTCTTTTTTCCTCAGTGTGGCGACTCGATGCGTAATTTTCTTGTTGTACCGTGGATTATGATCAATGCACGCCGTGAACAACGAATGCGGCGAGAGGGGATGGCGGAGGAATGCCTCTGCGGCAAATAACTCGCCGTGTGGTTTTCCTTACTAGGGAAATATACATGTGTGAGTGGACGATATTCCCTCTGGCAGGTACGGTACTATAGACGTATGCAAATAATCGCTGCACGAAGTAGGAAGCAGAAGGAGGCAAAGGAGCTACAACGAGGTACATCGGGGTACCACGAAGTACAAGAAGCTATAACGAGGTACAAGAACCTATAACGATGTACAAGCAGGTACAAGCGGGTACGAGGAGGCACTCTGGGGCACAAAATTCCAATGTGCCATTCCGCATATTCCGGTCGTCGCAGTCCTGCCTGTTGTGTAATGCAAAGAAGGCGCTTCCCAGTCTTATGGAGGGGATGCGGAGGGGGAGTCAACAGGAAGGGCCTCGGAAGGAGCTTCACAACACACGAGGGGGAAGATTACAAAAGGAATAACGCCTTCGAAATGTGGAAATGCCATAGCGCAGAAACATACAGAGCCGACTTATCATTTCACGACAGCTTTAAAATTAGTGAAGATAAAGAATTGCTCCTCAGCACAAGGGTAAGCAAATATAAGAATGTAAAACATGCCAACATCAAATTTTTGTTTCTCTTTCTAACGTTTAGCCAGCCATGCTGCAACCATTTTCTTTGTAAGACGAACCCGAGGAATGCAATCCGCACCCAGGTGCTAGCCAAACTGAACTACCTCCTCTTGATAAAGAAAATCCTCTCAAATGATTCGACACAGAATAGGTTCATAAATTTTCTCCACTTGAATTATGTCTTACCCAGAAGGGGGAGAAATAAAGTTTCACTCGATGAGGAACGGACGGATGACACGTACGTTGGTGCTTCTCCCGATGGGTACCCACCCCTGTTTGGTACGAAATTTCTCGAAAGGGACAATCCTCCGAGGAGTACTCACGATGGAAATTCTCACCGAGCGGAACATACCAATTGGGTTGAGCCCCCCCGAGGCGTGACAAACTTCCGCCTAAACGAAATAAGGCAGCTATTCCAAAAGGGGGAGTACGAAATTGTTATACACAGCAATATCAAGAATAGACTCCTAAACCACGTTTATGTGGACGACCTAGATGGCCACATAAAGACGCAGATTAATTACCTCAACATGTTTGTCAACCAAGTGACGGATAAGACGATGCTACTGGAATTATACTCCTTTGTCGATTATTTCTTTGGCCAGATGGGGAAGCATGCGAATGAGTTTTTATTTTTCCTAGACAGACTAGCCGATAAACTGTTACCCAGAATGAACTTGGTAGATTTAGCCTTCATCTTCCACATGCACATAAAGCTGAATTATTACAATCATTTGTTCTTATTCATGTTGGTCCGAAAAATGGAGCTTCTTTTACTTTCCCTCTTCACCTATCCAGAGGGAAATAAAGAACTAGCCAATCTGTACATGCGAAGAATAAAGTATAACCAGAAATCCCTTGTCCTATTTTTCCACTCCTTGACAAATTATTTTTTTTATCTCAACCAACTCGAAGGGGGGACAAGATACAAGGACAAACAGATCCATATCGAACGTTTCCTTTATGGCAAACTGGGGGCACTCCACGTCTTGCAACACATGAAGCGAAATTACCAATCGTATTCCTTGCTAGACTACACCTTAGTCTTTTCCTCCCTCAACAAACTGGGAATACAAAATGAGCTACTCAGTTCGGTTCTACTGGATTATATAGAAAGAATCGGATCATTTCTGCCAACAAATGCGAACTCGCAGAAGGGAAAACTCCCCACCTTAACCACCTCCCTCAGTGGAGGCAACCTCCATCTCTATGCCTCCGTTTTGAGCACCTTTACAAAGTGCTTCAAATCCTATCGGTACTGCAGGGGTCAATACGAGAGAGTCATGCGGGTGTTACTTATCCTGTTTGAAAATGGGCTATGGGTTATCTCCAAATTGTTCGTCAGTGAAGGGAAGAATTTGCTCTGCCCTCGGGGTGATCACAAAATGGCCGAGTTGAGAAGGCCGCTCAGCAGAAGCGACTTATCGGTGGAGGAATCGCACTCGCGAATGGTTACATCGCAACTAGATGAACAGATCAAATGCGCCAATGCATTGAACCGTAAGAGTGACGTCCCCCCCGAGGGGGAAAATCCCAATGAAAAACCTACCTATTTTGCCTTCATTAAGGTTCTACAGTTGGAGAGGAGAAAAAGCAAAGTGTGTAATATGGGAGAAGCCCCCTCACGAGAGGCATGCAAGGAAGATAGCGTGCCATGTAGAGCAGGGGACTCCCCAGATAGACCCATCCACCAAACGGAAGTCGAAACATATAGCTATTGCAAGACGGTGTACCATGTGCAAAACGTCCGAGATAACATCAAATTCATCGTTAATTGTCTGAACTCCACCTACAAACTGGTTAATCACTTTATTGAAATGTTTAAAGTGAAGGAACACAGCAAGCAGTTCAATCGGATTCTTCTGTACAATTTTTGCAATCAGCTCATTTATGAGAAAGAGAAGATCTACCATTATGGAGGCTATTTGGATAAATTGCACAACTGCACTGTGCATAGCAGCAGACTGTTTGACTACCGCGAGGGGAGGGTACACATAAATCGGTTATTTATGTGCGCCTACTTGCAGAGTTTCCTGCTCTCTGATTTGGTCAATGTGTATGTCGGTGGAATGGTCGAGGGGTTACGTGATGGGATGCCACCAACAATGGGACCATCCAACGAGTCGACGTTCTTCTCCCAGCTGGCCGCCAACACTTTGGGGGCCATCCAAAACTTGAAGCTTCTACGGTACGATATTTTTGCTAACATCACATACATCCTCAGAAGGGAATACTTCAAACTGGAAGTGTTTAACGCGGGGAATATTATCCACTCCTTTGCCTCCGTCAAGCTTAGGGACGTGCAGATAATCGAACTTCTAACGAAGCATCTTATATCTCACGCAAATGACAATCTGGGGAGTGACCACGAGATAGGTGAACAGACACTCAGCAATGTCTCCATCTCGCTATTAAAACTTGATTTTCCGAACGAAAAATTTAACGAAATTATTTTCCGAAATTACAAAAGGGTCCAATCTGTGCACTCACTCATAAATATAACCCTCTACTTATGCTACTACAATTTTATGAGCTCCCTTCTGCTGCAAAATCATTTTACTCACCTTTTTGAGCACGTGAATATAGCAGATATGAGCATGCTGACCGTCCAAAACCAGACACAGTTACGTCTCATCGCTCTTTTAACTTTGTACGTTCATCATTATTCTGCTGGGGAGAGACACAAGTGGGAGGATGCGAAGGGGACTCCCTCTGGAAAGATTTCCACCCATTTGAATGAATGTGGAGAAGTCGTTCTAGCCCCAACGATAAGTAACAAACGGGGAGCTCAAACTGCAGAGGGGAATTACAAAGTGGAACACATGGGAGGGAGAAGACAAAGAAGCGCGTTCCCCGACTCAGGGTGCACACATGTCGTCCCCTCGTCCATAAACATGTTCGAAATTTTGGCGCACAAACGTATGAGGAACCCACCAATGGAGACGACCCCGCTGTTAAGTGAGAGGGACTACTTAAACCTCCATTTCATCGGGGCATTCCCCTTTTCCGCACCTCCTATCGAAACTACCTCCAGCTTGCATGACGAAATTTACGACGTGGTAGCGTCACTGAGTCTTCCACGTCGCCTGACAAAGGAGTTGCCGCACTACCCCTACTACGTCGATATAGTGCTTGCCTAGCGCCGTCCGAGGGTGTACGATCGTGTCGGTTTGTGACAATTTTGCCGTGCCGATTTGCGGCGCTGGCTCGTAGCGACCAATGTTACTCCCTTTTTTTTTTGTACAAGGAACTCTTTATTCCCTTCCAACTTTGCAACTTCCCACAAATTGAAAGACCATCGCCAGGCGCAACCGCCACGATCGCAGCAAAGGCGGTTCCTCCCATGTGTTATGAAGACGCGTTAGTTTTATATGTCGGGGAAGCGTTACTTTACATTTAAAAAAAAAAAAAAAAAAAAAAACAAACACAGGACGTCCGAGAGGCGTTTTCACGAAATGGATAACAAAAAAAGGTACACCAGACCGCTTTACGGGTCATAAGGGAGTGGTCGGGGCAAACTTCTCCCCTCCTGCGCCGCGCCAGCTCTACTGCAGAGGACCCACAGCTGACCTCGCGGCGTCCGACTGCCCCTTGGCATCCTCCACATACTTCTTGCTCAATGAGCTGGGGCTAATTTTACCCGGGAAAACATTAAAGGTGATTAAATTGGCAGACTTGTTCTGATATTCAACCATCAGGTACTGATGCAGTTGTCTCAAGTTTTCACTCTCGCACCACAGCTGCCGTAGCGTTATTAAATTTATCATGTCCTTTTCTAATCTACTGTAGGCATAAAAATGAAACTGATCATCTGGATTGTTACTACAAATATGACACATAACCAGATCCTTCTTTAAGTCACTCGTCTCATTGTCTGTCTGTAAATCGACATTCTTTTTGAACAATAAAAGGAGGTTACTGAGAATCGTCTTTCTCTTCTCATATATCAGCTGAGCATACTTGTCTAACGTTTCCAAGCTCATGCCACTTACATCCTCGTTGATGTATTTTTTTATTAACATTTCTTTATCTGCTGTGTATTTTGAGAGCAAAATGTTATTCAGTATGTTCTGTGTGTCTTCGCACAGGTTGGCTATATTTAGTGTGTTCAGGCAATTGTCTACCATGTTGTTCAGATTTTTCTGAAACTGTTTTGCGTGATCTCCAAGGGGGAATTCACTCTGTTCCACGTTTTGGCTACTAAAATTTCCTGTCTCGGGAGCTCCCATTTTGTGGCACTCTTCATGGCGCACGTCGTTAATGTCGATCACTTCGATTGGGCTGTTCCCGCTATGTTGGTTAAAACTGTTTTGGGTGTAATTTTGGCTGTAAGTTTGACTGGGAGGAAAGAATTCCCTGGAGGTGTTCTGCACTGGGTTGCCTTTGTTGGGGAGACCGACATCCGCATGCACCGTAGACAACCCATTGGCGTGCACACCGAGGATCGCCCTGTCGCAGTATTCCCCATTACCACTATCAAGTGGAGGTTCCCCTGGAGCACAGTTCACATCGTTTGGCAATTTTTCAAACGAAGTTGCTTTTGTGTTTAGATGCACTCTTGAAAGGTTTCCTGTGGGGTCTGGGTTTTCCTTCTCCACGCAGATGGTACTTTCTGTGTCACAATTGATAAAAAGGCTGGTGCCTTTCGTTTCTCTCTCCTTTATGCCGACGAAGGAGTTGCTGCTGTCAGGTTGGATGTAATTGTAACTCATCTTGTGGCCAATTCCTGCAGCGGGGTTGTTTGCGTGCTGGCCTGCTTGGTTCTTCGCTTTCACGTTAAGTGTGTTTTTCGCGCTCTCCGACGTGTTCGAGACGGCATCGTAAAATATGTTGTCGCTTTCTCTGTTCTTCCCCCTTTCGTTGGTGTGCCGGATGTGCACGTGGCTGGCATTGTTTACGATTACATTACTACCGACTGCGCCATTACCGACTGCGCTACCAATGACCGCGTTACCCCCGCCAACACCATGATTCGTTCTTGCCGCGTTTCCGCTGGCGGAGATGCCATTACCACGGAAGAAGGCCCTCTCCTTCAGGCGTTCCCGTTCGTTCGAGAAGTTGGTCAACTTGCTGCCAACGCTGTGCCGGAGCAATTGCACATCGGCCTTCTTCGCTTTGCTGGACACGCCGTCGCAGCTGCTCCTGTTCTTGATGACGCCCTGTTTCGCGTTCTTCCTGCACGCCAGAAACATATTCTTGTCATTCTTGTTCAGGTTACAATTCATCTCATCCAAGGAGGAGAAATCCGAGGTGTCCGAGAAGGTGTAACTTTCCTGGATGAAATTCTGCTTCCTCGAGACACTGTCATAATTTGTGTTATTGCTTTTGAAATTTAAGAGGCTCTTTTTCTTCTTCTTCTTTTGCGCTAGCTTATCCATATCGTTGACTGAGTTGTACTTGGTCTGGTTGATGGTCACGCCGTCCTGATTTTTCACGAGGTGTTTTCCCGTTCGGGAAGAGTTCACCAGGCCACTGACCATGCCACTTACGATACCGCTACCACTGCTGCCACCGCAGCCCCCTCCGTGCTGGTCCCTCACCTCGTTCGACTTCATGTTCACCCTGCCGCTCTGCATGAGCGAATTCGATTTCATATCCGCGCCCTCCGCTCCGGAGGTATTCATCTCGCCGCTTCTCGACTCCAGGATGCTAATCTTCTCGCTATTGGGGTCTTCCTCTTCCGTCGCATTCATTTTATGCTTAAAATTTTTGACGCGCGAAGAGTACCTTAGTGTATTCAGCGTCTGCTCGCAGCAACTAATGGTGGGGGAAATATTTGCAATCATGATGCTCTTAGATTTGCCAACAAATATATCTCTCAACACTTTAGTTAGCTCTGAATCTCTGAATGGAATGTGATGTTTGTCTGAGTCCATAGCCCTGATGCATTCCTTCAGAGCTAACAACGATCGATTAATATTAGCTCCGTCTGTTTGTGTCTGTTTATTCTGAGCAACGGTATCAGCACCCCTTTCGCTCCCTGCCAAGTCTATAAAGGCAATTTTTCCCAAAGAGACATTCTTATGTATATCTTTCAAATCAATGTTCAGGATAGCATGGGATCTAGACGACTCATCATTTTGAGAGTTAACTCCTATCTTTCGTAACATGACTCCATCAATCATCTTCGAAATTAACTCCTCCTTGGAGTATACTCTTAAAATTTTTAGGTCTTTTACCACCACTTCTTTCTTCCCGTTTTCCAAAGCGGCAACCATTTTTCTTTTCTGTAGCAAATCGTATAGTTTCCCACAGTAAATTTCGTAAAAGGAGATGAAAATTCCTTTGCTGTTATCGTTATCGTAGAGACTTAAAAAACTGAAGATATCTTCTGCTGCGTATTGGAAAATCCCTGGCGTTTCGCTTTGTCCATATGGCTGAGACCCTAACATGGTGTACGTTTTTCCACTCCCTGTTTGTCCATACGCAAAACAGGAACAGACACAGTTACTTTCGAAGATGTCCACAATTAGCGGCTTTATTGTATTTATGTAGACGGTAAAATTGTCTACCGTTTCGTCAAAGACCTTGTCTACTATGAATTCGTGTCTCTCCACATATTTGGTGAGGTCCACTTTGTATCTTGGCTCGTCTATATAGATGGTGGAGTTATCCTTTACCGTTATGATGTCATTGTCTTTCCTTTTTTTTTCCAACTCACTGATGGGTCTTTTCCTTACCACCACTTTGATTTTTCCGTTCATATTTTTTCCTCTGCTTTTTGACTTCTGCCCCAGGTTCAGGCTCTTCTGTGGGTATATCTCGCTCTGCCAGAAAGAGGAGGAGAAATGAAGAAGCAAATGGTATGCACTTACGCTGATGAGTACGCGCGTCTTGGGATTGGAATAAAAGGTGAACGATCAATAGGGGCACAAATCAGTAACACTTTTCCGCCTCCTGTTTCATTACCTTGTTTTTCACCATGGATTGCCTCTTCTGCTGCATTGTTTTTTTATTCATGATCTTCAAATTTTACGAAAAGGGGACTGAACTTGGCGTTCGTGTTTGTTTCAATCGACAAGAGATGGCTTGGCCAAACAACTCAGACGCATGTTCCTCTTTCCTATCTTCCTCTATGCTTGTCTTGAGCGAAATGGTAAGGGGAGAATTATGGCCTCGTACCATTTGCAGGATTGCCCCGCTCACCCGTGGGGGGGGAAGCTTCTCCACGAGGTGCACAGGTCGACGCGCTAACAATTAGCACGAATCTTCCTGGTTAGACGGGGAAACAATTTTAATCACCGCAAAAAAGAAAAAAAAAGGGGCAATAAATCGCAAGGAGGAATGAGCACAGGGTAGCAAAATAAAGGAGCAACAGCTACGCGGATAAGTAGGCGGTGCACCCATGAACAGTGGGTAAGGTCTACAATTTGGAAAAGTCTTCAATTTGGCAAGCTCTTCCGTCTGGAAAGCTCTTCTGTCAGGAAAGCTATGCTGTCAGGAAAGCTATGCTGTCTGAAAAGCTCTACCAACCCACTGCTTACTTGTCTCGTCTTTCCCTGTTCGAACAATATGTGTCTCCGAAACCACTCTCGTGTGGGCGAACTCCCTATGTATTACAATTCTTGCAGAGACAGAGGTAGGCCACCTAAATCGACTGGACAGGTGCATACATACGACACATTCGCCTTGCGTGTGAAAGGTTGCTTCGAATCTGTGTTGCAGAGTAGCGCATCTTGGAAAGGGAAAAAAAATTCCGTGGACAATCGGTTCGCGTTTTTAACAAGCAGGGCAGGCGAGCCTTATGGTGCGTCTCTTAGGATGAGGACGTTTTGGTTAAGTCGTCCTGACTGGTACCTTCTGGTGAGCACCTTATGGAAGGAAGTTCTCAGGTGCCCTTCGGTAGGCAGAGAAATCACTCCAAAATGTAAAAAGCGAAATAGGCGGATACGAATAAAAAGGGGAAGCACTTGATGGATGAGACTACCACCTGCAAGTGTGCGGATCTTCACACATGCGCGCGTGCACGTGTGGCTGCACATATAGGTATGCATGTATACATTTATATGTGTACTCGCGGGGGAGGCAGAGTAAAGACTTCCGCCGCACTGTCGCCGAACTGCTACGTTCGCAGCGCATTGGACGTGTGTCAGCTCGGGTTAACTGACTGAATTGGACTCCGCTCAAACGAACTGAATTCAATTTATTAAATTACCACTTAATGTATGAGATGAATGCATCCAAATGCGGCGGGGCCCCATCTCCACTTCTTTCATGTGAGCCATTTGCAAAAAGGGGAAAAGGGTCATCTGGCGAAGGGGGCACCTCATTCGCAAAAAAAATGTACACTCCTAGATGATGCTCTTTCGAGTGGGATGAGGGCGAATTTTTTCACTTATTTGGGAAAACACTGGGAAAAAAAAGGGAAAAAAAAAGGAGGGGAAAAGAAAAGGAAAGAAAAAGAAAAAAAAGGGGAAAAAAAAAAGCACATGGGGAAAATTCAAAAGGGAAATTAACCCAAGGAAAATCCGCCCAAAGGAAATTGACCAAAAGGACATTCACTAAATGCAAATCCGCCAGGAAGAAATTCACTTAACGCTCATCCACCGAAACAATTCAACTAAACGAAGTTCAACAAAGGAAGGATAGCAGCAAGGAACGAGGGAAAAAATAAGCTGAACATAAAATGGCAAAATTGTATTTACACTTTGCGAGCCAAGAAAGGGTCTGCCTACCAACATAGTATTGTCAAACCGGGTAATCTCGTTAAAAAAAAGGGGTTTTCATTTTACGGAGCATCCTTTTTTTTTTTTCTTTTTCACTATTTAGAAATAAAAATTGTCACTTTTTTTTTTTTTCTTTATTCCCTTTTGGTTTCCTTTGCGTTTCCTTCGCTTTCCCTTCGTTTTAAAAATACAGACCTCCTTCGTGTAGACAGGGAAAGAAGAAACTCAACCGTGAGAACCTTTTTAGCCAAGTTGTATTTTCACCCTGGTTGATTCTTTTAAGAGGAAGTTTCCTTCCCCTGTTGAGGCATTCATCCCGGGGAACACAATTAACCAATCGCATCATGGCCTAACCTGGCGTGGGCACTCGCAGGTGCGTGCGCGTGTGTAGGAGTTCGTGTCCGCGGGAAAGATGTCCCCAGAGGTTCGAAGCGGTCCAAAGCAGTCCAAAGCAGTCCAAAGCACTCCATATGTGAATGTACACATTTACACCTGCACAATTGTGGTGGAACACTTATGAGGGCGTTTTTACAGCAGTCCCTGCCAGACGCGATTTCCCTGTCTGAATTTTGCTCTGCCGCCTTTTCCCGCCGAGGAGCACATTCTTCACGTTTAAAAAGGTGAAGATTTGAAATTTTGGCAACTGGGGCGCACTAACATGAGAAAGAACAAACTCTGAAAGTGCAAAACTTAAGAAAAAAGAAAAAATTTTTTTTTTTTTTTCTTTTTGGTGTCCAACTGTACGTACATTCACCGTGTATGCAGATATATGCCGCTTCCTCCACGAGGAATACGCATAAGAGTGTGTGTAGAGGTCAACCGGGCCCCTCCCAGAAATACCATGTGGGTATACCCATTTGGCCAAGAAATAAACGCGCGGGGGGAAGAAGACTACACAAAGTGCATCACCCCCGTCGATTTAAGGGACCACTACAAAAATTACAAACACAGCAGTAGCAACAAACGAGTGAAGCAGGTTGTTCGGAGAAATGCCAAACGAGTGCGCGATGTGGTCCTGACCAGTTGGCTACCCCAGCGGATGGATCCGCATATAAACAATAAGGATGCCAAAATTCATCTCAGCAATGCTAAAGGAGCAGATAACATTTTATACGTCGATTTCGTGTACACCCAACTGATCAGACATACGTATGTGTTGTTACATTCGCTAAATGTAAACAGAAGGAAGGAAAAAAAATTCAACTTTAGCAAAATTTTTCGATACAAGTATAATTATAAACTGTGTGAAGAGCAGCAGGTTGCCAAATATTTGGACCACTACAACATCAGCAATAACCTTGCAGGCTGTGCGCACTTTTTTGTATATTCCTGGGCGGGAGAGAGAAAAAAAAAAAAAAGAGAAGCAGGAATAGAAGCAGAAACAGACACAGAAACCGAAACAGAAGCAGGGCAGTGTGAGAATAAGGCCAACTTTAACATGTGCATATATTTACCAACAGAAAAAGAAGTGGACATTTTATTCATCCTCCAAAAGCTGCACAAATATTTTTATTTTAATTTTTATGTACCAATAATCACGGAGGAAAACAGCTTGATATTTTTCCCATTCGATTTACGCAATAATTTACTAGTCAAACACAGGTTTGGAATTTTCGTGCCGTACTTATATGTGCACCACTGCACTGAAAGGGGGACAAACCGCAGCAGCAGTTTACACCTCAATTTAAGTCCAGCCAATTTGGTCATGGACACATTATACAATTTTTCCTTTACGGAAAGGGAAAATATTTTTTTCATTCCTCTCCTTGCATATAATAATTATGGTGCGCGTGTTGGCAGTGGAAAGGGCTACTACGATAGAGCATTTAAACATGAGGGGGACGAGGAAAAAAAAAACGTAAAGGTTTCTCTCTCGTTGGAGGTTCTTCTGTACGAAATTGACTTTTTGGAGCCCACGGACATCCTTCTGGATTATGTAGTAAATGAGAGGGGCGTCTACCACTACGTCTCCTGACAGGTCAAATTTGGCTTGCATATTTTTGTGCGCGCTTTCGTCTTTTTTTTGCTCTTCTGCGTTTGCGTGGTTTGCTTTGTGGGCTCGTCATCGGGCAGGAGGCTTCTGCACCTGGTCGGAGAGAGGAATCAACCGGTGAGGGGGCAACTTAGGGGTTCGAAGATATCGCACGAGGACACAACACACAGGCATAATCTGCGCAGAGGGGTCCATTGCACCTGCGTCCATAGCCAACCGCCCAAGCCGCCTTACAATAAAGCCCCCATGCGACTCATGCGAATTACGTAGAGCGGATAGTTCACTCTCACCCAAAAGGATGTTCTCAAATCAGGTTTACCCATCGCCAGGCCCTTGCCACCTTAAAGCGTTATCCTCAGAATGGAACTCCAGCATATCTGTGTTGTAAGAGCGGACAAATGGGTCAAAAAGAGATACACAGAACTAAGCGCAATGGAGAGTGTATCACCTCATTAGAGGTACCCCTTCGGGACAGACTTTGCACAAAAAAAAAATATAGTCAAAACTGTGCACTGCTCAACTTCATCCGGAAGGAAAAATACCTGACTCGCTAAATGAGAAACATTCGCTGCTGTGATTCTGCAAATGGGATTTGCCATAAAAGGAGAAGTTCACATGTGCAAAACGACACACATGCACACGTAGAAGTACATACGTAGAAGAAGATACGTAGAAGAAGATACGTAGAAGAACAGACTTAGAAGTACACACGCAGAAGTACAACACCCGTGAATGAAAATCGGAGAGGAAAGTCAGCGCCTCCTCCAATATGCTTAAAATGTGGAGCAACAAATTTCACAGAGGGGAAGAAAAAACAGGCACCTACCTCCCTAATATGTGCGGCTAACTCCTTTAAGATTCTCTCCTTGTTCTCTAAATCTTCCTCCAACTTCTTAGCATCTTCGATAAAAAAAAAAAAAAAAAAACGTAAGCCATTTTAGAAGATTAACCGGAAGACGCGGGAATATGTTAAAATGTGACTTATTCTTCTTTTTTTTGGGGAAGGACTCCTCCACGAATGTGAGTAGACATACCTTCGTTGGCGGTGTGCTGTTCGAAAGGCTCTTCTAGCTTTTCTTTCTTCTTGTTCCTCTTCTGTTCGGTGCTGAAGGGGGGATAATCACCAAGAGGTGTATATCGCTGCAATGATGCGTATTATTTTATTCCTCTCTGCACCGTGCAAAGGACATCCCGATAGACACCGCCTAACGTCGATGCCTCTTCAGTGCACGCCGCGTCTAAGTATTTACCCGTCGCAGTTGGCGTAACTGAGGAGCATGTTAAAAATGGACATGTTCAGATCGAACGGCTGGAAAATGGACAAAATTGTCCACAACTTGCGGCTGCAATACTTGTGCCTCAACTTGTGAATGCTCCTGAGGAGGGCCTCAAAAAATGGCAAATCGCAAAACTTCGAGCAGCTGATGGAATAAACCAGGCTGTACAAATCTCGATAAGTAAAATTTCCCAACTCGGGGAACAAAATGGAATTTAATTTAAACAAGTAACTCTTCTTTTTCTTCAAGAAGAAATTTTTAGATATACTTATGTACAGTAAAATTTTATCCTTTTTGGTTAATAACTTGCAATCATTTGAGAAGATTTCAGTGAGGCAATTTTTCCACAAAAACGAATTGACACCGTCATCCACGTGAACGGCATTGTATTGTATGCTCATCAGGTGAATGAGCTGAACCAGAGTAGATGGAGGCAACGAGAACTCTGGCAACTTCCTGTCCAGTGCTCCCATACGAATGATGAGTTGCTCCAATTTATTAAAAAGCGTCTTACAGAAAATGTCGTAAGGTAGACAAGTGAACATGTAATTTGTAATTATGCGTATCGTTTCTCCTTCCACATGGGGTGGAAAACGCCCATTTGAAGTTCCTTTACACGAGGTTCCCTGGCAAGGGGCTCGTTTGGTTGAAATTCCTTCGCCTGAATTTCTTTCACTTGAACTTCCCTTTTTATAATTCCTTATCAACTTGTTTAGGGAGCAAACTAGTGCATGGTTTACGAAGTAAATCATGTAGATGATCTGCCGGGTCATCACATCTTTATTTTCGGTTGCCTCCGACAGGTTGCTAAGCCTTCCCGGTTGGCTTCCTAGACCGGGTGGGACTTCCTCCTCGTTAGCTACCTCCACTTGTCCTATGTTCGTCGCTTCATTGGAGGTGCCTCCCCCTGCTGACGATCCTTCCCTCTGACACTCAAACTCGTATATATTAAAATAGTGGTAAAAGTTTCCAGTGATGTAGGCCAAGTTGTTGCCCAGAGCGGAGGCAAGCTCGGCCTTTCCCCGTGTACCCACGACCTCCCAGCACATGTTGACGAAGGAAGAAGTGTCCAGGGGATACTCATTCTTGTTCATCATTCTGAGCTTATTCATCACGTCAACATCTTTTTCCGCATCTCTGTTATTTTTCTCAATTTTAATCTTTGCTGCATTCATTACGGAGGTTAGCAATTCGGTGTGCTTACATAGATGCATCATAGATATGCGCCTGTTTGTTTTATGCCTTACATACTTTAACATAAACGTGATTAGGAGGTAGAGGCTGTTGGTTCGAATGGCTAGCTTGCTGTTCAGGTAGGCCACATTCTGAAGGTATATCGAAATGGCACTGACCAAAGGTGCGTTTAATTTTTTGAGAAAAAAATTGGAGACATCTTCGTCTATTTCGTCATCATCCAGGCTGTTGTTTTTCCTTTTTTTTAAAACTGTACAGTAATAGTTAAATGCGTTTTTGTGATTTATCCATTCGATGAGTTTTCTGTGGATGTTTTGTCTCCCTTTGGCGCTTCCTATCGAACCGCTTCTCCCTGGGGGTAACCGTCCATCCTTCATATCGCCTCTCGTGAAGGTAATCCTCTCAGCGTAGCTCTTCGAGGGGAGACAGCTAAGGTAGAGCAATTTCTCCCTCAAGTGTAGACCCCCTTCTTTCGTGATTACCTTTTCACACAAATGTTCAATCAGGTCATCCAGTCTCTTTCCTCTCAATTCCTTTTCTCCTTTTCTGTACGCCTGGCACAATGCATACAGTAACAACTTTTTGTTATCCCCTATATAATTTATCAAATTCGTGGTGTTAACATTTTTTCGGTCTAAATGGAGGTTAACTTTAACTGTTTCTTCTGTCCTTTCTTCTGTTTTTCTTTTCCTTTCCCTTCTTGGGATTCCCCAAGCGACTCTCTTCCGTAGAGTTGGGAAAGTCCTTTTCTTCTTCACTCCATGGCGCGTCGCGATTGGCCACTTTAGGCTTGACGCAGGACGGAAGAGTGTATTCATGTCATCGTACCTTTTGGAAAAATTGTACTTATACAGTGTGGGGCATTTTTATGGTCCCTCTCTGGAAAGAAGCTAAGAAAAGGATTCTCACTTTTACCGTCATAGGGAAAGGAGTTATATAATGTCTTCACATGTGTGCCGAGGCGGGGTGGAAAATTCTTCTCTCTTCGTTCCTTTTCACGTGGACACGTTCACTTGAGGAGAAGGGGTAGTGTGGACACTAAACAACAGGGGCAGGAAAAAAAAAAAAAAAAAGGAATGCTCCTATTGGTTTATCTTTCCAACCAAGCAAATTCCTAACAGGTGGTGATAACTTCATTGCAACGCATGTCCTTCCCTTGGATACGACGGGGGAGGGATAAAATCGGGGCGCCCTTATCTCCTGTACATCTGCCGCCGACATGTGTGCATATATTTCGCTCAACTAACGTTACTTCTCTTCACTGGATCTTCCTTTTTTTTTTTCCTGCTCCGCATCTGTGCCTAAATGGGCAGACTTTCCCCTTTGGAAATTCGGAAAAGGCAAAAATAAAAGTGAGAAACGGGCGCAAGGGATAGGCTATATAGGATCAGTAAGCTGAATCCGCTCAGTCCGCTGAGTAACATCAGCGAAGCGGGTCAATCAAAGTGAAGGAAGTCCCTTTAGCCAACACTTTTCCCATGCCACGCTCTCTCCATTTTTGCGAGTGTGGTAATTTCCCCCCATTTTTCACTTCTTCCCACTCCTCTTCCTCTAACCGTGGCAATATTGCAATGTTGATAAAATCACGTTGCCGCCATATCATTTGCGAGCATCGCACTACGCGTCCTTCGCCCGCGCAAACCAAAGGATCCGTTTAGAGAAAATTTTCAAGTCGTCTCCCTCCGACACAGCATATCCCATTTTTATAACCTTACCAACTGCTTGTACCATGCAGATGAGGAACGATCGTGTAGAGTGATTCCTCTTTCGCTTTCTCCTTTTTTCTTCTTCACCCTCTGCACAATCACGAGGCACGAAAGGATTCGAACGCACTCCACCGTGTGAATTTTTCTTATTTTTTTTCTTTTTTTTTGTTTTTCCATCTTGTTGGTTGTTAGCGATTGGAAGAGGAAGGGAGATTGGGCCAAGTTTGGCATTATTTTTAAATAATATTTGAGGAAAATCTTGTATCTTTCTCCCCTTTTTTTCGCCCTTTTTTTCTCCCCCATTTTGATTAAGCGATTATGGGGTCAGAGTGACCTGGGGTCGACAGGCAAGAAAAGAGGAAAGGAGTTGATTTGCCAAAAGGCTAGGCGAAAGCATCTTTTACAGATAACTGTTCGCACACGTGAGTATACGTACGTGCCGGATTCTCAGCAATAGACTGGCACTTCTTCCTCCTGTGCATCTTCTACCTCCTCTGCGTGTTTCGCCCCCCCAGCCGCTACTCCCCACCGAAGCCGTCCTCAACAAAAATGCCTCCAAAAAAGGAAAACACTAAAAAATTAGAAAAAGAAAAGCAAAAAATTGTGGAAGATAAAACCTTTGGGCTGAAAAACAAGAACAAAAGTAAGAGTGTCCAAAGGTACGTACTCGAGTTGTTTTCCTGCTGGCAGCCTTACGCCCGTCTGCAAGTGTCTTGGTTGATGCTTATTATCCCCCATGTGTGTTTGTTCGCAGTTCCATGGCAGCAGAGAATAAACACTGGCCTCACGGCATATGACTCACTCCACACCACATATGCACCACCACAGGTACATCAAAGGCGTTCAGCAGCAAGTCTTCCAGACGAAAAAAAAACCGGACGAAAAGAAAAAAGAAGAAAAGGAAAAGGAAAAGCTAAATCAGCAGAAATTATTGCTCAATTCGATATACCAAAGTAGGGAAAATTAAAAAGCCTCAAAATGTGTATATTGTGAATTGTAGCTTGGAAGGGGTTTCCGTCCCCGTGATGGTTTTCCTCCCCTCCTTGTTTTTCCTTTTTTTTCAAGTGGTTCATTTTTTCTTTCTTTTCACCTCCATATTTTCCCCCCTTCTAGAAACTGAGAAGGTTAAAAAGATTAACGAAACTTCTTCCACGTACGACCCAAAGAAGTCCAAGGAATCCCAAAAAATCGACATATACACAGACATTCGGGACAACAAAAATGACAAGGAAAATGACACCATAGATCAGTGGGACATAAACAAGCTGAACGAGGTCATAAATATAAGACACAAAAATATTAACAAGACGGACATCATATGCAAGTACTTCCTCAGTGCGGTCGAAAATAAGGTATGTGGGAGGCCACACAGAAAAAAAAGAAGGAAAAAGAAGAAAAAAAAAAAGAAACACGTTCTCTGATTTACCTGCATATTACGCCACCCACCTACCGTGCAGCTCTACACGCGATACTGCATCGCATGGGTGGCGCAAATTTCAAAACTGTAATAACATAATCCCCCTCACTCCTACATACATACACACACACGCACACACTCGCAGCAATACGGATGGTTCTGGGTTTGTCCCAACGGAGGAGACAACTGCAAGTACAAGCACTGCCTCCCGCAAGGTTAGAAGATAATGAAGGGAAATGATTAAACGCCGCGAAAGGGGGGAGGACTTCCCCAAGAAAAAAAAAAAAAAGAGAAAAAAAATGAACATTTCTGAGCGACTGGCAAAACGTGGAACCACAAATGAGTTAACCCCTTTGATACCTTTTAATTTTTTTTCCCTCTTGTTGAAAAATAATCTTCCCTTTCGCAAAAATTATCGACTTTGTTGCTCCCCTTTTTCGCCCGAACGCAGGATATGTGTTAAAAAAACCAGAGCCGACTGAAAACGATAAAGACGATATTCCCCTGGAGGACATAATAGAGGAGGAGGTAATCTAAAGGGCTTCCTCGGAATGCAGCTCCAGAATAACGAAAAAATTGTTTACTATCATAAGTCCATTTTTTTTTACCATCAAATTTGTGCCCTAGTTTGAGACCATTCCGACGTGACCCTACCCTGTTCATGCTCTCCACGCATAGTGCCAACTCCAATGTGAACCTTCATCCCCTTTGCAGAGAACCCAATTTATAAATAACGGCACCGCGGTGACTTTGGAAATATTCAAAAAATGGTTAGCTGAAAGGGAGGAGAAAAATAAGCTTAAGAAAGACGAACAGAAGGACAAGACGGAGAAAAAGGGAAGGACCAGCGTCCTCTCTGGGAAGGAGCTGTTTACCTACGACCCAACGTAAGACACTTTTCTATGAGCTCACGGCAGTGCAAACAATATGTGTACAAATATATTTGTGTGTAACTCTGTTTACGCCTTTTTTGTTTACTCAAATGTACTTCTTCCTCACCATCAGTGCAGCATCGTCCCTTTTTTTTTTTCTTTTTTGTGGCATTATAACAACAGATTATTATACCTTTACAATGGAAACCCCCACCCACCCATTTCACAACTCTTATTTCTTTTCCCCCTCCCCGTGCAGATTATTTGTTGATGATGACAATGCTGCGAACACGAATGAGTATGATGATCTGTTTTATGATGATGATGATGAACAGAAGGAAGAGACTCCCGAGAAGAAAAATTACGAGAATGGAGAAGTCGATGAAAATGGTAACGCATCCCTATCTGCCGCTGTCCACTTGGCATTTGTACCCACTGTTCTCTGTTGCGAGGATATGTCTTCGTGGCTTCTTACCAAAAAGGGGCCTGTTGTGATCACCCCCCTTTATATGTTTACTTACAACTGCATGAATTTGTTCCCCCCCCCACACACACACACACAAACAATTCACACTCCAGAGAAACGACAGGATGATGTCCCAATTAACACCGACCTTTTTATGGACGAACTGGTAGGTATTTCTACTCGGCCCCAGCGAATGATTAGCAGCGTGACGAATGAGTAAAGCGACACGGGGAAGAAAAGCCCTCCTTGGCGATTTACATATATTCGCAACACCGGAGGCGCAATGGAAGAAGGGGCGCCCAGTCACACGTGCGACTAAGCTCCCATAAACTGAGTCACCTACAAATATATATTGTACCCCCCCCTTCTTCTGTCATGCATACTTATAAATTGTGCATAAAGGGTATGGCCACATTTTTTAACCGATCCTTTTTTCCTTCCCGTCAGGATGATCTGGACCAATTGGATTAATGACGCACAAATCGGACAAAATTGAAAAATCCTTTTTTAAAATATCACAAATAGCGTTAGGTTATTAAAAAAATTTAGTTTTAATTTGATGCAAACAAACAAAAAAAAAAATTAAGTGCCATCTTAAAAAATTTTTAAGCAAAATTATGGCCAAATTATGGCCACATTGTTGCCAATTTTTTGCTCACATTTTGCCGAAACTTTGCGACTTGTTGTCCCCCTTTTGCCAATTTTTTTTTAAATTAAACGCGGAAAAGCATTCCCCTGTTCCATTCTTCTTTTCACTTCATTTTAAAGAAGCTCGATAGCTTATAGGGATTAACCCTGTCCTGCGGAAGGGGAGCAGCGGTGAGAAAGTGTTGCGCCCGCTTGCATGGAAAAGTCTGCACCAAGCGCCACTCAGCCGCGCCGACGGCTACTCAGAAATGCGCCTACGGGCAAGGCGGAAAGGTTTGCTCACGTTCACAACACACAATGTTTGATCACACAGGTTTCATCACACATATATGGACACGTTTACACACCTCTACATGTGCGCGAAAACTTACGCTTTTTTCTCGCCTTTTGCGCGGACGGCCACTCGAGTCAGTCGAACTGGACTCAGACAGGGAATGCCTTTTTTTCTTTTTCTTTCTCTTTTTTTCAGGGCTCGAAGAGGAGTCGCTTGAATGCCCGTCTTCGCTGCTAGAATGGGACTCCTTTCGCTTATGCCTACTCGAATGTTTGTGATTTTCTTTTTTTTTTTTTTCTCTCTGTCCCTTTTTCTCCTTCTTCTTTTTCGAGTCCTCCTCTGAGGAAGTAGCACTGTCCTCGCTGCTACTTCGACTGTCACTTTTATTCCTCCGCTTATTTTTATACTCCTTTTTTAGCTTTTTTATGTACCTCT